AGAGTGGGAGCTTCAGGCAAAAGCTTTATTTCTTTATTGGAGAAACTCCTGCTGAGTCCTGAGGTTGGAGAAATGACACCCAACAGCCACCAGGGATCCTCAAACCCCTCCAGGTCACCTAGACTTTTAGATTCTTTCTAAGACAGGAGACTGGGAGCAGCTGGATTCAATCCCAGCCCCAGAGTTTGTCAAAGGTTTATGTGTAAATATTGGACAGGTGGAATTGAACCATAATGCAATTTGTCCAACAGGATTAATGACAGAACACCAGATGTATTTCTATAAATACAGCTGTTATTAATTCTGATCATGATTAGACAGGAGGATTTATTTACAACGCAGAGTAAACAAAAAATAGAGTTATTTACTCCAGAGTAGATGTGCTATAACAATTATTATAGTGTTCTAGGAAGCAATTTTGAAGTAAACAGGGCTTTGCTGGAGTTGCTTGAACCCATTCCAGGCACAGCCTCCTGCTCCAGCAGGATCCGCCTTTCCTGTGCCATGGCCAGGGCAGATCCCGCTGCAGGAAAAGCCCCAGGCCAGCTCCAAGCCAGGGAAGGGCTCGGGCACAAGTGCAGAGTGCCGTGCTGGGAGCTGTGCCAGGGACAGCCTGAGGCACCAGGGGCACCAAAGGCACCTTGACAGCAGCAGCTGCTTCCAGGGCATGGCCAGAAGGCTCCCTTGGCAACCCGGCCTGGTGGCCAGCACTGCAGAGCTGTTGCTTCAGGGTTCATTTCTGGCTGGGCTCTGAAAAGCCACTGCTGCTCCAAGAGCCTGACTGGGAAGCAATTGGCCCCAGCACCCTGGGGACAAGATAATAATGAAAAAACTCTTCATCCCAGCAGAGACAAGGCAGGGACAGAGGAAAGGGGAGAGCCAGGCCCAGGGGACATGGCTGAAATGGTGATGTCTCTGAGGTCACTGCCACTGCAGCAGCCTGGCTGGCCCTCAGCAGACATTCTGGCCAGGTGTGTTGTGAGGGCACCCAGAACATGAGAAAACCCACACAACAGCAATTCCATCCTTGGGGAGGGGCTTTCACCGTGTCAGGTTGCACAGAGCTCCTGCCCTTGTAGCAATTCTGGTATGAGGTATACATTTCTCTGTAAAAGCAGTTGCAGTTTTGTGACACTCTGTAAAATGTTTCCTCCTTCTACCAAATCCAAATCCACTCTAGTTCACTTTAAAGATATTGATCCTTGTTCTGTCATTGCAAGATTTCGGAGAAAATATCTTTGACCAGTGTTTCCATCTTCACAGACCTTGGAGAGGACCAAAAAATCTCGCAGGATCAGGTTTGGAGGCCTCATCACATAAGCAGCAGGTAGAGGCTGAGGACTCTGGGCTGTGTACCTGAAAGACCCTGCCAGAGGCAACTTGTGCAGCCCTTTGGCCATGGCTGCTGGCCCTGGGCCTCAGGCCAGCACGGGACAAGTGACCCTGGCAGCCCTGGGGCCTCATTGCCTCCTTGTCCCTGCTCAGCAGCCTGGCAGGGGCCGCCCCATGGTGCTGCCCTTGGCATTGCACTTCCCCACATGCCAGTGCCCCGGGAAGAGCCCTGAGCAATGAGGGAGGGACAGCATCTGCCTTGTCAGGGGCTGGGGCT